AATTAGATTCTAGCCTAGAGGAAGATAAACGGGAAGCAGGAGAAGATTAGAGAAATTCTGTTTCCTGAGGTCTGCTCCTGAGACCTAAAAGAGCCCTAACATTATAACAAAAAAACTGTAACAAGGACTATGGAAGTTATGAACCAGGAACTGTGGACAAAAACCAATGTCTACATCATAATACAACACCACTCTAGGTTATGTGATTTCAGCCTATACTGTCTTTGAGCTCTTTTTTAATCCTTTTGTATATTTAGGTCACTGACAGACATGCACAGTGTCTTGTCCTGAAGAGTCATTTGTCTCTCCATTCATACTATAATATTTTTCAATATTCCTAATTAATATGACTGCATCCTTAAAAAATGTATTTTGTATCCATATCTGCTGATTTGTTTGAGTTAAATAAATATTTTAATGCATGTGCCCATCTTTGAGTGTTATACTTTATTTTGAGAATTATTTTTTATCCATGTTTAAGTCACAACAATTTGCTCATTTTATTATTCTATCAGAGATACGTAAATACTCATGACAGGAGACGTGCACTACAAGCACAACTGAAGCCTGGTATGCCTTTTCTGGACTCTCCTAGGTGACTCCAAAGCATTAATAGAACTTTATTCAGGTTTGGCTCTTCCTATTTCAATCTTCCTTTCTGAACGTTTAGTATTTCTGTGCTTTTTTTGTTGTTGTTGCTATTGCAGTTGTTACATATAAAGGTGACAAGCTAGCTTCCATTATTGGTCACTATGGTTTGGCATCTGTTTTCACTTTAAAGTTGTTTTTCAATTTGACAGTTTGTGGTGTATTCACCATGTTGTGCCACTATCATCATTAGGTGATTTTAGAACAGTATCATCACCCCATAAAGAGACCCTATACCCATTAAGCAATAAGTTTCTATTTCCCCCACCCCCAATTTCTGGCAACCATCAGATTACTTTCTGTCTTTCTGCATTTGCCTATTCTGCACATTTCATACAAATAGAATCATACAGTATGTGGCCTTTTGTGTATGGCTCTTCATTGAACATGATATTTTCAGTGTCCATGTTGTAGCACATATTAATACTTCTTATGGCTGAGCAAGATTCCATGTTCTTAATAAACACCATTTTATTCATCTAGTCATCCCTTGATGTACATTTGGGTTGTTTCCAATTTATGAATAATGTATCCATGAGTGTACAAGTTTTTGTGTGGACCTATGTTTTCATGTTTGTTGGGTATATATTCAGGAGAGAAATTGCTAGGCCCTATGTAGCTCTGTGCTAACTTTTGGAGGAACAGCTAAAATGTTTTCCAAAGTGACTGCGTCATTTTACAATTCCACCAGCATGGGGTGAGGATTCTAATTTCTCCATATCCTCACCCACATTTATCTTTCTTCTTGAACATAGCCAGCGGGATAGGCATAAGATAGTATTTAGCTGTGATCTTGATTTGCATTTTTCTAAGGAATGTGAATATTGAGCATCTTCCCATGTGCTTGTTGTCCATCTGTAACATTTATTCTAACATCCTGATGTGTCTACCGCCATACCACCCTGAATGCGCCCAGTCACATCTGATGTCCTAATGTGTTGTCATCGTTAATAATTGACATGGTCTGTGATAGAGTTTGTTTTCTAAGTTAATTTACTTGTAAACATTTACAAGTATATAAAATGATTTAGCAACTGTAACTGTCTCATCTAATTTTGATATGTTGGAAAACATGAATTTATTTTCTCATTGGCATGTCCTGTATTTCTAAAGTAAGCCCTTAGTCATTTGATATATTTATTGACTAATTTTACATTCAAATTATAACTTATGCTGGGTTTATGTTAAATATGTATATGATACTTATATATAAGTCAGGCAAAACTTGTTGTGACTTTTTCCTTGCTTTGTAACAGAGATTTGAAAGAGGAATTGCTTAACCATGAAAATATGGGGAACAAAAATTATTTAAAACAATAAAAAATTTTGGATAATGCTTCCAAAAAACAAAAAACAAAGTGTATTTATGTTTTTTTGAGTTTATTATTATACTTCTCAATTTAGTTTTGGTATCACGTATTTTACAGAAATTGTTTCTTTTTCTTAGTTTACTATTAAGTTTTTATATATATTTTTTAAACTGGAGGTTTAATAATTCAGTCAATAATTTTAAATGCTGTTTATTTTTAATATGTATGTCTGCTTATCACATTTTTCTCACCATTGTACTAACTTTCTGTATTTTGTCAATAATTTTACTTGTTTTATTATATTTCACGTACGACTTGTTCTTAATTTCATTACTTATATTATATTATACTTTATTGTTAAACATTACTTGCATTTATTATTTATTAGTATTAGAAATTCCAGCATTTGACATCTAGTACACATGTGTTGACAGGCACATTCGAGTATTTAAATTTGCAGTTATCATATTTTCCTTAACTACTCTTGAGTTAAATAGAGTGCACAACTTTAATAAGGAGCATTTTATTGTCTTTTTTAATTAATTCAAGTTATTTGTTGGGATTACTACCTAGTTGTTCTTTCTTTAGTATTATAAAATTCTTTAACATACTGTTTCAAAAATATTATTATTTGGTGAGTAGCAAAGTAAATTTTTTTGATTAAAATATCTTGCATTTTTATTTCTCAACATGCTTAGTTTTTATTTTTATTTTGTTGATACATGACACTTGTACATATATATTTGGTACATGATACTTTGATACATGCATTCAATGTGTGATAATCAAATCAGAGCAATTAGAATATCTATCACTTCAAACACATCTTACTTCTTTGTATTGAAAACATTGTATATCTTCTCTTCTAGCTATTTTGAAATTTACAATAAGTTATTGTTAACTACTGTATAGCTACTTTACTGTGCTATAAAACACTAGAACTTATTTCTTCTGACTGTATTTATACCCATTAGTAAACCTATCTTTATCCTCCACCCTACCCTTCCTAGTCTCTGGTAACCAACATTATACTCACTACCTTCATGAGATCAAATATTTTACCTCCCAATATTGGCCTTTCTATGAGCAGCTTATTTCACTTAATGTGTTGTCCTTTAGTTCAATCTACATTGCTGCAAATGACAGGATTTTTTTTATAGCTAAATATCCCATTATGTATATATACCACATTTTCTTTATCCATTAATCTGCTTATGAACACTTTTATTGATTTCACATTTTGGCTATTATGAATAGTGCGACATAAACGTAGAGGGCGGATGTCTCTTAGACATACTGATTTCCTTTCTTTTGGATATATATCCAAGTGGGTTTGCTGGAGCCTCTGGTAGTTTTATTTTTAGTCTTTTGAGATACATTAATACTGATATCCATAGTAGAGGTACTAATTTACTCCCACCAATAGTTTATAAGTCTTTTCCTTTCTGCATATTCTCACCAGCATCCATTATTTTTTGTGTTTTGAGTAATAGCTATTTTGATTTTGTGGAATGATAACACATTGTGGTTTTGATTTGTATTTTTCTGATGATTAGTGATGCTGAGCATTTTTCTACGTATCTGTTGGCCATACGTATGTCTTCTTCTGAGAAATGTCAAAATTTGGGGATAATCCCTCAAAAGCACAGGTAACATATACAAAAATTGACAAATGGGATTACATCAAGCTAAAAAGCTTCTGTACAGCAAAGTAAACAATAAAGTAAAATGAACCTACAAATACAAATATAAGAAAAGATTTGCAAACTGTCCATCAGCAAGGAATTAACAACCAGAATATGTAAGAAACTCAACTCAGTAACAAGTAAAAAATAATCTGATTAAAATAAGTAAAAAAAAATTTAAACTCTTTTTGAGATAAAATTATTTCAATTGCATCATATGTACAAAGAAATGTGATATGAAGCCCAAGAAATGTGATATGAAGCCCATGTTCAGTCCATGTCCATGAGGTCAAGCTTGCACATTGTATTGTTCATTTTTTTGAACTGTCAAATTTTACCATACAAACTAACAATAATCACAAAATTTCTGTTGAAATTTTTTGCTAAGGTCAAATAATTGCCTACGTTGTTTTACAATCTCTTAAATATTCTCCCTTGAATATTTTAAAGCAGCAATTACCTGCTCCACTGAGCACCAAATGCCTTGCTTCACCCCTCCATGAACAGTGAAGAGTTTCATTCCAGATTCTTTTCCAAATTTTGGAATATGGGGCTTACTCTGATGCTTCTTTCTTCTGAATGTGCTAATTAGAATAGCTGCATAACAGAGAATATTCCACCTTCAAAGGGTCCCCAAAACCAGCGGTTTTATTTTATGGCTCATATTTATCAGCTGTGATTTGATTGAGAGCCTCTTAGTACAATTATTGGGCTCACTTTGGCATACCTACATCATTCTGACCGTTTTTACATTAAAGCACTTGAAATATGCTCTTCTCCTCCCTATTCCCAAATTACATATCTTAAAAGCTTAACTTTCTTTTAGGATTTAAGGCAAAATGAAAAACCTGGTTTTAGATATCCTGCAGTGGCTGATACAAATTTTTCCTTCCAGCTCCATCCCAGGCCAGTCACTGTGGAGTCATTGTTTTGCTTTCTCACATTCATGATGGATTATCACTGAGGCTTCTCCAGTTCATTAAATTCTTCTTACACTCCTGTGCGCAGTTCATTTCTGGACACTTTTATTAACTGATTTAAAATTACATACTCATATAGTATTCACATTGTCTTCACATTACTAGAGAACCCTTTCTTAATAAACTGTTAGCCTCGATGCTTTTCCATTGAAATATATAATACTGTGAAAATTATGAAAGCATTTTGCAAAACATTTACTCTATTTGTCATTCTTACCACATGATAAATCTTATGAGGGCAGAGACTTGGTCTGTTCACTCATTCTCTGTTTTGTAACAGTTCATTGTGGTGCGCAAACCTCTGCAAGGAAAGAATGAATGACTACACATTGTGAAGCGCAAAAAACCCCGCAAAACTTGTAGAACTATCTGACCAGCTAAAGAAACCGTGTAGTCCATCCACAGTAGGCAGAGCAGAGTCTGAATATCCTCGGGTCATGACTCATGAGAACAAATGGGCTGACTGCAGAGAAACAAGAAGTTATCAGTGCAGAGACGTCCACCAGCCATGGACTGGGATTATGAAAAAAGGCCAGGTATAATGTAAAGATGGAGGAGAGGGTGTAAAATGATACAAAGGTGCTCACCAGAACAAGGACTTTTTGGGTAACTCTGGACTCAAGGGAGGATCTGGGGGAGAGGTTGGTGCTATGAATGTGTCGGACCCGCTGCTTGTGCCTGTACAGGAAGAAAATCACGGAGATGCTGGCCCAGGTCATTAGTCCTAAACACACAACATCATAGGATGACATCAATGATCAATGCTGTAAGTAGTAAGCGTGTAATTCTGTTTTTACCTACTGCAGAGCAGTATCCAAAATCATTTTTCTCTGTGTTGTTTTTGCTGTTCCACTTGCCAGTTATATACACAGGAATGGTAATATTTACCAGCATGTTCAAAATCCAGCACAGAATCAGGGTGTGGGTGGGTCCAATGTATTTGGGGGATTGTAATTTCAATTCTGCCCACCTGGAATTCTTGGGACTGATTGTGATGGCCTGGAAGATACTCAAAAGACAGACAGTGCAGATGCACACACCCCTGCCCACCCTGTGAACATAGAAAACAAGTTTGCATCCAATATCACTGAGCAAATATTTCATTCCCAAAGTGGCCATTGCCTGCTGGATTCCTTTAGCAAGTATGACCAAGAAGTTGGCTACAGTCAGGTGCTTAAGAATCAAATCTGCAGACTTTAATGTGCATCTGGTGAAATAAAGAATACTATAATGACAAAGAAGAAGGAAATTTCCCAGGAATCCAACTATGGTCTGAGATAAGAAGATCATTCCTATTGCCAAATCACTGAGGGCCATTTGTTATTTTCCCATTGCTGGCAATTCCATTCAGAGTGAAAGGATTCTGCATGGAAACATGAGGACTGTTTTGCAGTGGCAATTGCAATTCTCTGTTGTTCACTTACTATTGGTTTTAGCCCATAGATTTCGTATAAAATTCAATTTTTATTTCACTAACAGTCTTGCTATAAAAAGAAAAACATATATTCCCACTTTGATGTTATTTCAAGGTTTTATAATAACTTTTATAACAATTTTATGAAATAAGTGCTTTATTATGTCCATTTTGCAGGTGAGGAAAGCACAGGAAGTTTAAATGGCATTGCTAAAGTCAACTCCTTGTAAGAGGTAGTGTCAGAAGCTAACAATGTGCTTAACCACTGTTTATCAATCTCAAACACAGTTATTCTTTTCTTGTAATTCATACAGTTCTCTTTTTATACTGTGTCTGTTTTTAAAAGAATGTATGTACTTTTTTTAAAAATTGTAATTGTGACAATTTTTCATTTAAATTTCTCATTTTATAGGCAAATATTCCTGACAATGATAGAGATTCAAATGGATTATAGATACCCTGATTTTAGTATAACCCTAAAAGAATAATTATATAAGACCAAATGGAATTTATTGAATGCACAAATGATTCCATGTTGGAATTAAAAGAGGAGGTTTTTTTCTTTAACTTGATCAAGAAGGAGAGCACAGCAGAATGACTGTATGCTGAAAAGGGGATATGAAACATCAATAGGAGACAAAATATTTTAGAGGAAAAAAATTATTAATTATGGAGAAGTTAGTAGTTTATCACATGTGAAAATATAAAATGAAATTATATCAGTGTCACAAATGTTAAATATGTTAGAACACAAGTCTGTTATGCAAAAGGGAACTGGGATAGGAAAAGTTGTTCAAATAAACTTAAATCACACTATGTTGAGCATTGAGCCTGGGAATGGCCTTAGTACCTCTTTTTGAAACCAAAGAAAATATGAAAAATAAGTCAAAGCTGAAAACTGCTGAGGTTCTTGACTTTATTTTTCTAATACAAAATCTGAGATCAACTTTTTTTAATGTTCTTTCCTGACTGAAGGAAAACAGTCTGATCACAATGAAAGGAGAGCAAATATTTTCTCTCACCACACAATCACAATCTCATTAAAGGATATAATGTGCCCAGAGTTTGTGGAAAAAGCTATATTTACTATTTCTGAACAGAATAAATGCTGTACAATCAGCTATATCTCATACATTATCATAGGCCTGGAAGTATTGTAAAAATATCTCTGCTAATTCTAGAAATGTTGTCCTTTGCTCTTGTAGTATAACAGCTAGCAGAAAAATTATCTATTTATATTAAAGAATTTTTTAAAAAACAGATTACGTGGCTTATTATACCAAAAACCACCAACAAACATTGAAGATGCATTAAATTAAATTAGAAGCACTTAGCAACTGTTTTATGGTCTTGGATTTTTAATCCTTCTCTAAAAGTTTAGCCCATGACTAAGTAATTATTTTCTTTTCCTCACATAGCCTCAGTACTTGCTCAGTCTCTAGTCCAAAAGAATATCTTTTTCAGACAAGAGCACTGATACACCATCTCCCAATACACTCTTCTTCTTTTGAAGATTATGTGTTATGGACCAACATATAGAATACTCACCTCACTCTTTCTTGCTGCAGGGATGGCTGGCTCAGGGTGTGGTTACCACAACGAGATATGCATTTGGAAAAGGAAAATCCTGGGTGATCTTTTTATTAGTGTTGCTGCAGAAAAATATCTTAAAATATTAGCAAAACTAACCTATAACAAAAGAAAGCAGCCAGTGAATGTGTGGGAGGGATTCAGCCAGGTATGAGATATGTGTGTGTGATCCTGTGACCTCAACTCCCCACAAAACTGCAATTATCATTTTACCTTTGACAGCAATGACAGTACACACCTGGGGAGATGTAGATATTTTTGAAAGACTTTTGTTGTAATTACCATTTAACAAAAACAACTACAACTTTCTAGTGAGAATCTCCAGAGAGATGTGAGTGTTTGGAAGCAGCTCTTCTTTTTCATGATTCCTGGAGGCAAACAGGGGTTCACATAGAAGGAGCAGGAAATTCTGAGTCTGAGTCATGAAGGACTGACAACAAAGTACTGGTATCTTACTGGATCTTGTGCTACCCTGACATATTGTGCTGATAAAATTTGATTTTATGCCAGTTCCGAAATTTATCTGACAAACTATTATTTCCTGTGAATAGAGAAATAGGATCACACAAAGGGCCTGAGAAAGATATGTCAACAGGTTAAAGTGTAAGGAAAACTTGAAGTCAAATATTTATGGGAAAAATAAAGTCAAAAAACCCCACAGATGTTGGCACAGATAGGGTGAAAGGAAATGAATATATACTGTTAGTGGGAATGTAAATTAGTATAACCCCTATGGAAAACAGTATGGAGATTTTATGAAGATGTCTCAGAGAACTATAAACAGATCTACCATTTGATCAAGCAATCCTACTACTAGGTATCTACCTAAAGATTATTATACAAAGAAGACACCTTCACTTGTATGTTTATCACTGCACAATTCACAATCTCAAAGATGTGGAATCAACCTAAGTGCCCATCAGCTGATCAACTGATAAAGCAAATGTGGTATATATACACCATCCAAGATGCTGCACAAGTCATTATTCCATTTTTTATGGTTGAATACTATTCAGAATGGAATAATGACTTGTGCAGCATCTTGGATGGAATTGGAGGCCATTATCTTAAGTAATGCTAGAATGGAAAACCAAATGACACATGTCCTCACTTAAAAGTGGAAGCTAACCTAAGAGTTCACAAAGACATATAGAATGAAACAATGGACATTGGAGTCCCAGAGAGGGCTGGGGAAGAAGGGTGAGGGATCCAAAATTACCTTCAGACACAATGTGAATTAGTAGAAATTAGGGGTACACTTAAAGCCCAGACTTCTCACGGCTATTCACATTTACCCCATAGAGGTAGAGACTCAAGAGAACGATATCTGAAGAAGAAATAGAACATTTACCATAGACCTCTCCTCACATACAAAAAAAAAAGAACCAAATTCTTATAATCTAAAGAGAAGTTCTACTAAAGAACTAATTGATAAACCAGTGGTACTTAAACTATGCAAAAGTTGCATGGTAGTTATTTTTCCCAGTAGTCTTAGTTCATTTGTATAAGAGAGATACAAGCATTTTGCCTGGATTAAGTCATACAGAATATTATGACAAATAGGACATCCAACCATAAAAGTTAACATTGTAACTATTAGAAACCATTGCACCAACACATTAAAATATCATGTCATGACTCAGTACTTTTTGTGCACAAATGCAAGTGAGATGTAACATTAGGAAAGTCACTAATATAAGTAATTACATTACAGAATTAATAAGAATTTAATGTGTTTATATCTTCAAGGCAAAAAGACATTGACAGATTTCAAAAGAAAAAAGTTTATTTCAAAAAGTAAATCAATAAAAAATTAGTGTAAAATACTTCTGAAAAATATGAAAGCATGTGTTTACAAATAAAAAAAATAATGACACCAGATGCTTAGGAAGGAAGATTCAACAGAATCCTGAGGTCAACAATCTCTTACTCAATTTTTAGATTGAGTTTGACTACTCTAATATAGCTACCATCTGGTTGCGTTCTGAAGATAGAAATTTTATTGCAAAGAAAAATAAAATCTAAATGAAGTTAAATTAAAAAACTTAAAATAGCCATTAAAAAACCCTAAATAAAAGAGATGATTTCTCCTACTCTATATCATAAATACTTGGAAATTAAAATAGTGTGGTGTTGGTTCATGAATAGACTGAGAGACCAATAAAATACACAATTCAAATATGGAATAAAACATGGACAGAAATGTATTGTACGATAAATATAGCCATGGTGAAAGAAAAGATGCCCAGAGAAATGCAAATCAAAACCACACTGAGATACCACCTAACCCCAGTAAGAATGGCCATCATTAATAAAACAAACAACAGATGCTGGCGAGGATGCTGAGAAAAAGGAATGCTTCTACACTGCTGGTGGGAATGCAAACTAGTGCAACCTCTTTGGAAGACAGTGTGGAGATTTCAGAAAGAACTATAAATTGACCTTCCATATGACCCAGCAATCCCTCTACTGGGAATATACCTGGAGGAACTCAAGTCATTCTAACATAAAGATACCTGCACATGCATGTTTGTTGCAGCCCTATTCACAATAGCAAAAACATGGAACCAATTTTACTGCCCATCAAAGCTGGACTGAATTTTTAAAATGTGGTACTACACATACACAATGGAATATTATGCAGCCATAAAGAAGGACAAACATATGGACTTTGCAGCAACTTGGATGAATTTAGAGTCTATCATACTCAGTGATCTATCACAGAAACAAAGAACCATATGTTCTCACTCATAAGCGGACCTTGAACAATTATCATAATACTACGAGAAAGGGATTGGCAGTAGTGGGAAACTGCCAGGGGAGGGGAAGTGGGATTGACAGTTGAGGGAAACTGCCAGGAGGGAGGGGCACACCTCATCAACAAGGGTAATTGCATAATGAACATTTGTATACCTAACCCTTAACTGTACCCTACATCTTTAAAAAATTTTTTCTTAATTAAAAATAAAAAAAGAAAGGAGATGCCAGCTAAGGGCAACTCACTAGAAATCGAAGCTCACAAGTATGCAGCAGAGACTTAATTGCCCCACCATTGTGCTTCCCACATGCCTGGTTTTTCTGCATGTGAAGGGAGAACATACAACATTTGAGCAAGCTCATCTTTGGCCACTGACTAATGAATCAGACTTCTGCTGGCTCAATACACATTGTAACCTGTTCTCGGGACAGACAGTGTTCCCCTATGAGCTGAGATGTTAGTAAAGTTTTATCACCTGCAACTGATCCCCTTTCTACGTCTAGGAATCTTGTGAAGAGCTACATGGTGCTTCATTAATTCCATAAGTTGATGATT